CTATCGCCCCTATGACCCCACTGGACTTCATGGCCCCTATAGGTCCCCCTTATAGCCTCTATGGCCCCCTATAGATCCCCCCCATGGCCCCCTCCCCATGCTGCTACAGCCCTATGCGTGGGCTGGGCTGGGGCGGTGGGAGAAGCCGAGCCCCATGGCCTGGACCAAGGGGCCACCGGGCCAGAATTGGCTCCTTCCCAGCAGCCCCCACTGGCCCACACCTGTGGGGCCGCCCCACGGAGCCCACCAGTGGGCGACCAGTTGTCCATGGACTAGCAAATGGGGCCTGGTGGCCAAGAAGGCCAACGGTCTCCTGGTGGTGGCCAAGAAGGCCAACGGTCTCCTGGTGGTGGGCAGCAGGTGGAAGCGGGTCCATCCTCCCCCTCTGCTCTGCCCTGGTGGGATCACAGCTGGGGACTGGGACCAGTTCTGGCCCAGGACAGGGGGCAACGGGCACAAACTGGGACACGGGAGGTTCCATCTCCAGGTGAGGAGGAACTTCTCTCCTGGCAGAGCCCTGGGACAGGCTGCCGAGGGTGGCTGTGGGGTCTTCTTTGGAGATGTTCCAAGGCCAGAGGAAGAGAGGAGAACGTGGGGAGAATGTGGGGTTTGGTCAAGTAGCCCCTGGCTTGGGCCCCGTCCACTGCTGGGTGGTCTTCTCCAGAGACCTGGCTCTAAAGAAAGGGTCCTTCTAGACGAGATCCAGGAGAGGGGCCTTCTGGAGAAGATCCAGGAGAGGGGCCTTCTGGAGAAAATCATTTGGATTAACCCATGAGCTTGAGAAGGTGCCCTGGTGGATTTGACCATGAGCTTGAGAAGGTGCCTGGGTCCAAGCTGGAGCAGGTCTCCACCTCCAGCCCACTGTAGTCCACTGTTTCACCACCAGCTTCTCATCACCCCAGTTCTTCTTGTCATGGTTGCTCTCCATCATTTCATCTCCCAGCCTGGGTTTCCCCCACCCACGTGCAGGACTTTCCACTTGGTCTTGTTGAACCTCCTGAGGTTGACCACCACTCTCTGAGTGCCACCAGCCAAGCAATTTCTCCGTCTCTCCACAGAAGCCATATCTCACCAACATTGAGAAGAAGGATCTTCTCTTTCTGTGGTCCCTGCCTCAGGTCCATCCACTGGAGAGAAGTGGGAAGAGGTCACCAGTGAAGACTGAGGTTCTTGAGAATCCCAACCTTCTCCTCATCTGTCATCACCAGTTTGCCAGTGAGAAGATGGAAGAGTCTCCAGGCCAAAGGTGGTTCTGAGCACCCACCATGGACACCTGAGATGTTCTGGTGTCCGTGGGCACCATACTGACCAGAGGACAGACACTGGAGAATTTTGGGATGCTTGGACCAGTCAAGTGATCAACTACCTCAAGTGGTGACCTCCAATCTAAGGTGGGCTTTGACCGAATGTTCTCCAACATCTTCAACCTCATCCTCGTGGCTCGGCCCTTGAACTGATCTCAGGAGTTCTGGTGTCTCCATGGAGGTGGGCTCCTCAATGGGCTTCTCCATCGATGCCCAAAGTTGACCTTCGAGACCTTCTCGAGCCTTAGTGGCCACCTGGCCCCAGGGGAGGCGGCCAAGCCTTGAGGCCACCTGAGCCCTGGCCAGAGATGTCCCACCAGAGCAGGAGATGGGGTCACCCCCTCCAGGTGAAGGTCAGAACTGGGGGGCGGGGCAGAGGTGGGTTCCCAGTCTGGACTGGTGGGTGACGTCACGCGGTCCCCAGCGCCCCTCCCCCCACAGAGGAGGAGGCCATGATGTCCCCAAAGGTCTTTAATGTGGCTCCAGCCGTGGCGCCTGCGGGGGAAGGGACGGGGACACCCTGGAGACACCCCGGGGATGGTGACACCCCTGGGGACACCCTGGGGCAGTGACGACCTAACCCTTGGTAGGGTGACGCCCTACGGAGCGACACCCTCCCCCTGGGGACCCCCTGGGGACAAGGACACTCTGGGGAACACCCCAGGGAGTGACACCCCTGGGGACCTTCTGGAGATGGTGACACCCCTGGGGACAGTGACACCCCTGGGGACACTCTGGGGGGTGACACCCCTGGGGACGGTGACACCCCTGGGGACACTTTGGGGGGTGACACCCCTGGGGACAGTGACACCCCTGGGGTCCAGGACACCCCATAGATCCCAAAGGTGCCCCATAGGGACCCCAGGACCCCCCAGAGTGCCCCATATGGACCCCAGGACCTCCTGGAGGCCCCCCCCTGGGGGCAGCCGGGGGACACTGGGACCCAGCGGGACCTCAGGGTGCCCCACAGGGACCCCAGGACCCACCAAGGTGCCCCATAGACCCCACAGCGTGCCTCAGAGATCCCAAAGGTGCCCCATAGGGACCCCAGAACCCCCCAGAGAACCCCAAGTGCCCCATAAGGACCCCAGGACCCTGCAGGGTGCCCCATAGGGACCCCAGGACCCCCCAGAGTACTCCATGGACACCCCATAGATCCCAAAGGTGCCCCATAGGGACCCCAGGACCCCCCGAGAATGCCAAGTGCCCCATAGGGACCCTGGGACCTTCAAGAGTACTCCATGGACCCCCCCAGGGTGCTCCATAAGGACCCCAGGACCCTCCAGGGTGCCCCATAGGGACCCCAGGACCCCCCAGAGTACTCCATGGACACCCCCAGGGTGCCCCATAAGGACCCCAGGACCCTCCAGGGTGCCCCATAGGGACCCCAGGACCCCCCAGAGAACCCCAAGTGCCCCATAGGGACCCCAGGACCCCCCAGGGTGCCCCATAGATCCCAAAGGTGCCCCATAGGGACCCCAGGACCCCCAGAGAATGCCAAGTGCCCCATAGGGACCCTGGGACCTTCAAGAGTACTCCATGGACCCCCCCAGGGTGCTCCATAAGGACCCCAGGACCCTCCAGGGTGCCCCATAGGGACCCCAGGACCCCCCAGAGACCCCCAGGGTGCCCCATAGGGACCCCAGGACCTCCTGGAGACCCCCCGGGTGCCCCATAGGGACCCCAGGACCCCCCAGAGACCCCCAGGGTGCCCCATAGGGACCCCAGGACCCCCCAGAGACCCCCAGGGTGCCCCATAGGGACCCCAGGACCCCCCAGAGACCCCCAGGGTGCCCCATAGGGACCCCAGGACCCCCCAGAGACCCCCAGGGTGCCCCATAGGGACCCCAGGACCCCCCAGAGACCCCCAGGGTGCCCCATAGGGACCCCAGGACCCCCCAGAGACCCCGGCGGGGGGCAGGGCCCCCGGGACCCGCAGCAGGGGCAGCCCCCGCTGGCGGCCGTAGGCCCAGTAGAGGTAGGGGAAGAGGAGGACGCGGCAGAGGAGGAAGGTCACCAGCAGGGCCACCCCGTTGAGCTTGTGTAGAGCCGTGTGTTGGCGCTGGTACTGCGGGGGAAGGGGGAGAAGAGAGGGTGAGGGGGAGGGACCTGGGTGTGATATGGGGTGGAGGGAGCCATGGCCACCTGAGATGTTCTCCTGGAGTCACCAGGGTTTGGGACCCATGGGAATGACCCAACTTCCCAGGGGTTGAGGGACCCATGGCCACTTGAGATCTTCTGGGGACCCAAGAACACCCCACGTCAGTATGGGGACCCCAGGGGTTGAGGGACCCAAGGCCACCTGAGATCTTCTGGGGACTGAAGAACACCCCACATCAGTATGGGGACCCCAGGGGTTGAGGGACCCAAGGCCACCTGAGATCTTCTGGGGACTGAAGAACACCCCACATCAGTATGGGGACCCCAAGGGTTGAGGGACCCAAGGCCACTTGAGATCTTCTGGGGACTGGAGAACACCCCACGTCAGTATGGGGACCATAGGGGTTGAGGAACCCATGGCCACCTGAGATCTTCTGGGGACCCAAGAACACCCCACGTCAGAATGGGGACCATAGGGGCTGAGGAACCCATGGCCACTTGAGATCTTCTGGGGACTGGAGAACACCCCACGTCAGTATGGGGACCATAGGGGTTGAGGAACCCATGGCCACCTGAGATCTTCTGGGGACCCATAGCCACCCTACGTTGGTATGGGGGGCCCCAGGGGTTTGGAGGACCCGTGCCCACCCAAGATGCCTTCTTGGAGCCCCAGGGGTTGGTGGCATGTGGGGTTGGGGATCTGTCTGTGGCCACCCACTACCCTCAGGGAAGCCCATGCTCACCAGGATGAGGACCTTGCCGAGGCAGACGAAGGGGGTGCTGAGCTCGGCCATCAGGAGACACCCCAAGAAGAAGTCACCCTTCCCTTGGCGCCACAGCTGAGGGAACACAGGGTCACATGAGATGTCCCCAAGGTGTCCCCAAGGGGACCCCATCCCCATTCCTTCTCCCCATGGCCATGGGAAAGGCAATGAGCAGCACAGGGACATGGTGGACCTTCACAAGCACATCCATGCCCATGGCATGTCCATCTGTCCCACGTCCCCAAGTGTCCCCAACCCAGGACCATTGTTCCCGGGTGTCCCCATCTCCGTCCCCACAGCCATGGGGAAGACACCAAGCACTATGGCGGTGTGGTGGACCTCCATAACCACATCTATCCCAAGGTGACGTCCCTCCATCCCATGTTCCTTAGCCACCCCTGTGTCCTCACCGTCCCTGAGGTGTCCCCAAACACCCCCGTGCCCCCGTTCCAACTCACGGCGGCCACCGGGAAGCAGATGAGCACCATGGCGGCGTGGTGGAGCACCATCAGGAGGTCCTTGCGGAGGTAAGAGCTGGCGGCCGCCCTCAGGGAGGGGGGGGGCGCCACCTCGTGTCCCTTCACCTGGCCCCGGTGCCAGTGGCACAGGAACATGGCGTAGACGTCGTAGATGAAGTAGGGGACGGCGAACTGGGGGTACGTCCCTGCCAGCCAGTGCCTGGGGGG